GACCTCTATTTTTTTAATATTTTAATTCTGAGAGTTAAGAAAAATGAGGATGTGAGTTCCAGGTGTCAACGCTTTTCTTAAATATGGGCTGGTGGCTAAAGCGCTTGATTCGCGATATAAAACTTCATATCAAATATGCCCGCCCTTTCAGCTGTGGAGCATTATAATGTTACGGACGATCTCACTAACCGTTGGTAACAAGTAGCCCAAAGGCTGGCGGTAAATAATGTTATCTAGCTGCATTTTCTCTAGTCTATCACTTCAAATTAGAAACCACTACCAGAATAGCCTTCTAGTAGCTTTGCGCAAATTTCAACAAATAAACAATTACCTCAACTCTCCTATTTCAATCCCTTCCCTGTTACGTCTTTTTTTGTAACAGCCAAACTTTTTCAGGCTTTTAATAGCTTGTCTACACACAACCTCCCTCCCTTCTTTACGGGCTTCTCTTTTCCCTCACATGTGACAATTAGTTCAATTTTATCAAGTTCTTAATAATTCATCTAGATTCCCCCAACTTTCTTATTTTATAGCCTTCCCATTCCCCTGTCATGTAAGAATTAGTTCAACTTAATTAAACTCCTAATAATTCGTCTTCACCCCACCCCACTCTCTTATTTATTAACCTTCTTATTACCCTGTCATGTAACAATTAGTTCAACTTAATTAAGCTCTTAATAATTCGTCTTCACCCCACCCCACTCTCTTATTTATTAACCTTCTTATTGCCCTGTCATGTAACAATTAGTTCAACTTAATTAAGCTCCTAATAATTCGTCTTCACCCCACCCCACTCTCTTATTTATTAACCATCTTAATGCCCTGTCATGTAACTATTAATTCAACTTAATTAAGCTCTTAATAATTCGTCTTCACCCCATCCCACTCTCTTATTTATAGCCATCCCATTGCCCTGTCATGTAACAATTAAATCAACTATATTAAGCTCTTAATAATTTGTCTACACCCGATTATTACAAACATGTAACAATTAGCCCAAACAAGCCAAGTTTTAGTAAACTGCCAACGCATTTTTATGCGTGTTTGTCAGGAACAAGATAACTGAGGTTTTTTAATATTCTAATTCCATGTCTTCACATTCTTACTATCACTAAGAATGCAATAAAGCTACACATGTCTTTCAACAGGATTTAAATAAACCTTAAAATAATTGATGACCCTTTTAACCCCTTCTCTCACACCCTTGTGGAAATGTTTAATAAATTACAAAAGCACAACCAGAATTAGTAAACACTGGCGTTGTTTATTTATTTCTTGTTCTTACCATCCCCTTAAAATACATAACGTATAAGCTCGCTACGATAATAATTATTGTATAAGGTTTTGTCGTTTAATATAAGTAAAAATCGCTGTTGTAAGATTTCAAAAAGGGAAAAGAAAACAACAGCCAAAACACTGTAAAAACGAGATATATAACAACAGCTTAATTTAACATTAATTCACCATTTTGATCCAATTTTAAGTTTAAGTTTGTTTTTGAATTTCGCGCAAAGATACACGAGGGCTATCTGCGCTAGCCGTCCCTAATTTAGCAGTGTAAAACTAGAGGGAAAGTAGCTAGTCATCACCACCCACTGCCAACTCTTGGGCTACTCTTTTAACAACGAATAGTGGGATTGACCGTCACATTATAACGCCCCCACGGCTGAAAGGGCGAGCATGTTTGGTGGGACGGGGATTCGAGCCCGCGACTCTCACATTGCACCCTAACCACCCTAACCGCGACGGTTTAAGAGTACAGCATTATTTTGCCTAATATTCTTGTTTAATGTTAAAATTGTACTGTAAACTTATGTAAAGAACTATTAAAATAAGCTTCCTTTTTTTCCAATAGTTTTTTTCCCGAATAAACTTCACAAATTTGTGTTGAAAGAAAAAGTGTTGAAAAGTAAAAAGTAACGAGGATTTCGAATTGCAAATCAAGTGTCTCAAAATCTTGAGGGAAACCTGAAATTAAAAAAAGAGAGTCTTAGATGTCTGTACAAATAAGGCATGTGACTGATGTCGCTGTCATAAAAACACATCAACGCTATATTTTCTCAGTAAAATAAACTGACCCATTGCGTGTCTCCTTGACTCAGAAAAGCGGGTTAGGTCGTTCACATTCTCAAGTTTAGCGAACTTTAGAAAAAAAGTAGATGTTCCAATTACGAAAAATGTTAACATAAGCACTTTAAGATTAATTAGTGTAAACTAACGAACATGTTTTCATCCTCTTTAACGACGTCCGGAAATTATATTAGCGTAATTATTTGCTTAGATGTAAAATTAGGACTCCTATATATTGTCTTGATGGGAAGAGATTCTTTGATATGCGATTTTTTTTCATTAAAATCCAAAAAATAAATCATTTTTTTCTGTTTTTTTATTCTTTATGCACACACGCTGGGCCCCCTGAGTTGTTATTCCGCACATTTACCAACTCCAGAGTTGTTATTTCGTATATATATATAATAATTCCATAGTTTTTATTCCGTATATATAAGAATTCCATAGTTTTTATTCCATATATATAAGAATTCCATAGTTTTTATTCCATATATATATAACAACTCCTGAGTTTTTATTCCGTACATATAAAAACTCCTGAGTTATTATTCCGTATATATAATAATTCCATAGTTGTTATTCCGTATATATAATAATTCCATAGTTTTTATTCCGTATATATAATAATTCCATAGTTTTTATTCCATATATATATATATAACAACTCCTGAGTTTTTATTCCGTACATATAAAAACTCCTGAGTTATTATTCCGTATATATAACAACTCCCGAGTTGTTATCCCGTTTATATAGCAACTGCCGAGTTGTTATTCCGTTTATATAACTACTCCCGAGTTGTTATTCCGTTTATATAACAACTCCGGAATTGTTATTCCGTTTATATAACAACTCCGGAATTGTTATTCCGTATATACGGAGATAATGAAGCGCGTTCTCTAAGTAACACAAAAATCAGTCTGCTTAAGTCAAACGAGTTTTGCTAAAAATCCATTTTTTTTTTATCTAAATAACTTTATTGTTAAGTAGCGTTAGATCTTTCATGGTTCGTTATTTAACACTAATATATGTTTCAGAGAAAGAGTATCAATGATTTGATATCCTAGCAACATGGGCTTCAGTGTTAACAGTGATATGTCTTTGGTATAATGAAACACTATTTGTATAACAAAGATAGAATTTCCGAAAAAAAAATCCATTAATTTCGTGGTTAAAAAGCAATATATTTTTCAGGTAAAGTAGACATCCATGCTATACTAGACTTAATCTATCAGAAGTTCAATTATTAAGTGTAAGAACTACTTAGGTAATTAGTTCTTAACGGTTAAATACTAACAGCTTTTAATGTAAAGACTCTTTTGCTTTTAGAAAGTAACGTTATTTCCCGTTTCAAGGTTAAACTGTGATAAATCGTTCAATTGAAGCGCTAAAGTCCAGAGTTTAATTTCCCGCAGTGGACACAGCAGACAGCCCAATCTGGCTTTGCTCTACAAAAATAAACAAACAGACTTCTCTACATCCATGAGTAAAGTATCATTCTTTTAAAGTAAGTTTGGAGTTAGTTTGTTTGTTTTTTAATTTCGCGCAAACCTACACGAGGGCTATCTGCGCTAGCCGTCCCTAATTTTAGAAAGATGGTATATATTATCATATTTCGAAGCAGAATATTTGCAATTAAAAAATTGTTATGAATTATATATATATATATATATATAAACATGATGTTAGGCATAAAGCAGGTGAACATGATGAAGCATCACCTCTTGTTTCATAACTGAAGAAATTCGACTTTATTGATAACAAATAAATCCAATGTTTGACTGTATACAAAGGGTTGACTATAGTGTGTTAAAATGACTTTGTATGAATACTTTCTAAAACAAAATATTCATACAATCACATCATAAAGATATCTTTAGATCGAGGATTTAGAATTTCCAAGAAGGCGATATTCTTTGTAATTAATAGCATTAAAAAAACAAAAACAAAATGTGTGTCAACTTGGGCATAAGGGCTGTCCAGAAAAGACCTGCAACAAGTAGTACCCCAGTCGTAGTGAGGGGTCTTGTAACAATTAAGGATCCACGAACACACATAGGTCTGTGACGAAGGTAATGCAACCAAGAAGGATCTCCTTCTTGAAAGTCGACACAAGTCACGTGTACACATATTGTTTCCGTAATATATCTGTTCAGTCATCTTCCAGCAGCTGGAGAATGAAATTGGTATTTATGCTATTCCAAAAGATTTACTGGTCAAATCGCTTATGGATTTCTGTGCGATTAAACTATTGAAAAGGGCACGGGATAACCGTCGTTCTTGTAAACTAGATGGATTATCGGAAGAAGCATGGAGGAGTGGTGTGTTTTGACAACATTACAAGGCATTTTGGAAAATACGCTACAAAGCTATTGCCAAGATGCGCAGACGTCAGATAAAATGTGATTGGATGTGGCACATGGACTGCAAGAACATGATAAGGCTCACAAATCGTTGTAATATAACGTACGTAATCTCTGTACATGTTTAATAAAGTCAAATTTAAGAGTTGAACTGAACATTCTTCTAACAAATGCTTTCTTGTTTTATGTAGAAAAAACTTAATCATATTGTTGTTCTGGGCTAATTTTAGAATCCGTTGGGTTTTCGCATTAGGAATGATTGCGTTAAGACATCACTAGTGTAAGTATACAGCCAAGAAAAACAAACAAACCATCTGACAGCTACAAGACCTCCTGGTGGAACAGAAGTTTCCAATTGTCATGAGAGAAGAGTGCCAGAAAATCTTGGGTAAGTGTAGTAAAGTCTACTGTCACGTGACTAAATAAGCAAGTCGATAATGGGGCGTGACAAAAGAACAAATTAAGATAGGGGTTCAGTAGAACGCTGAAATTCATTGCTTAAGCCGCAAAAACGAGCTCGTCGACATTTTATAGATGAAATACAAACGACTTTTTGTTTTCGGTAAATTGACTGAATGTTGTAAGTAACGAAAATATAAAAATTCGTTTTTCTCAACATGCGGAAAAGACAAGTAATCAGACTGGATGCTGGAAGACCATGGGGCTTCCGACTTTGTGGAGGGGTAGGAACTGGACGACCAATTTTGGTCCACAAGGTAAAGTCGAGCTAGAAGTACCACTAGTGAAAACAAACATTTCTGACTTATGAAGTATGATTATTCAGCATTTCAACAGAAATACAGACCACATTAAATTTTTAAAATTCTGTAAAAACTGGGGTGATAAATAAACTTTTAAAACGACTATGGGAAGATGAAAACAAAAAGAATACAAATTACGACGTTTTGCCAATATTACTTTTCACCATCAGATACAATGTACATCTTGTCGAAATTTCATAAAATGTCTTTTTCTCTGTTTTCATATTCCCTTTTAGCCTATGTAAAAGTTTATCTATTTAACGTATTATGGGATTCCTCATTTCTATATGTTTTTCAACGAATACTAATAAGGTTCATCGAAATCCTGAACTTAAGAAAGGTAACAAATGTGCAATTTTTAGATCGAACTAATTTCCCTTAGAACAACATGATAGATCCACTAAAAAATGGGAGATTCGATAAAACAATTATTATGTAGTGATTCTGAGTTCTCTGACATTGACTGAGTTTGAGAAAGAACGAGACTGTGGACACAATGTAAAACAAATCTTAATTTAAACTCAGAAACAGTCAAAGCTAACTAAATGCACAGGACGAACGACAGCGTCTCTACTTGATAGACACCTCTCTACATTATCCTGGGAGTGCTTAAATACAAACAAATAGAGACACAAAAATTCATTAGTAAACATCCTAATAAACTAAGGATACACAATAACTTAAGGGTATTAAAACATGATTTTTAGGGTGTAAACACTCAATCTTACATATTAAGAATTAGTTAACACAGGTTAAACTTTAGGAGAATATCACTATTTACAAAAAGAAGTTAAACTTCACTAACCAAACTGAGGAGTTGAGCATGAGAGAGAAAGAAAGAGATAACTAAGACACCCTACTATTATATACTAAATTCTGTAATACTGCTCTCCAAAGATGCAAGCGCCACCTATATCACTGTTGTTCATTGCCAGTGAAACATATGGGTGGTTTTACTCTCAAGATATCACCTGTTCTTCCTTTAGAAGATACTTTCTACACTCATGCACAAAGTGCAGCTTTACAGCCGTTCCACTCATGGGAAGACCAGGTGTTATCTCAAAAGAATGAAAAATAACAAAGGTAGTTAGAACAAAAGCAATTTATCGACTTTCCTGACCGTATGTTATATGAAAACTAAACACACGAGATTAACTGAAAAATACTACATTAAAACAAAAAAGTAAAAACGTATTGTATGCCTGCATATCACTCCCCTCCCCCTTTATTCAGACCAGTCCTCAAACCTTAACTGTAAAACTAATCTAAACCACACATGTGCACTGGACAATGAGTATAGTAACGCCATTTTGACCATGTAAATACTTATTCATGAAACAGATGACATAGCCCTTCAATAAAGAAATAATAATTCAATCAAAATTCATTTTAAGAATGAAATGGGAGCCTTTAATTACATCGCAACGAAATAACTTTATCGCTGGTTAATTGATAGTGACCACAGCAAATAAGTAAACGCAAAATATACTCTTTAACATAGATAATATACGAGTTTACACAATACAAAATACAAATTCAAATACCAACACAGAATTTACATAATACAATATCACAATACAATACAAACCCGTTAACAAATAATATATAATTATGTGTCCTCTGGTAGAACAGCGGTAAATTTACAGACTTACCACGCTAAAATCCATGGTTCGATTCCTTGCGGTGGACACAACAGATGGTCCACTGTGCATTTGCTATAAAACAAACAATATTATGTAATAGATGATAAAGTCACTTTTACATAGACACGAGAGTGAATTACAATACGAAATGAAATTGGAAGTAAACTTTAACAACAATAATTAGTATCATCAAAATCACAATAGTATAAAACCTAATATGCATTTCCATTTAATAACGATAAAATCTTCAGTTCCAATATCATATTAAATACAGAAAAGTATTTCATTAACATTGATAAATTAAAGATAAGAACGATGGTTTAAAACAGATATTCATAATTACGGTACGAAATCAAAATTATAAATTAAATAACTTGATATTAAAACAAAACATACTACTTCCAAGACGTATAACATGAACCCCTTTACAAAATATATATATATTAAAGCAAAACATACCACTTCCAAGAAGTATAACATGAACCCCTTTACAAAATATACATATATATTAAAACAAAACATACCACTTCCAAGACGTATAACATGAACCCCTTTACAAAATATACATATATATTAAAACAAAACATACTACTTCCAAGAAGTATAACGTGAACCCCTTTACAAAATATACATATATTAAAACAAAACATACTACTTCCAAGAAGTATAACATGAACCCCTTTACAAAATATACATGAACCTATGTGATAATAAAAACACATTATTCATAATGCCTAAATGCATATATATATATATATATATATTAGATAGTCAAGAAATTAATGTTGCTTTTTTGTAGATGAAAAACCCCGAACAACTTATATATCAAAACAAAACATTTATTAAATGAAATAGTCTCCATTCTTATCTATGACGCTTTTCCATCAGGTTCTTAATGCCCTGATTAAAGACATCACTTGGCTTTGAAGTAAAAAACATGTCGATGTCTCTTTAACACCTTCTACATTTGCATA